CAACCCACATTTCAACAATAACTCATACTCAACTCAATGACAACATGCACTCAACTCATATTCAATCCCTGATGCTCACTATTGTATGAACCCCATTAACTAGATCCCTGCTCAGACATTTGTGTACAGCAAGGGTGGAGAACGTTGAGGCTGGTGTGTTTTACGTGTTACATTAAATGTTAAAACATTAAGTGTTTTAAGCTGCAGTATGTTGGTATTTTTGTATAAACACCTGGTGTGTAACCTGTTTCTGCATGCAAGAACATATATAGCAGTAGAACACTAGCATGCAAGGTACAGAAACCTGGTCAGGTAGAGAAGGTGGCAGTCCTAAACGTAACTGAGAATCTGCATGCACTTCAGTTTTAGTGCTTTTATGCAATCCTTTAAATAGGTGAAAAAAATTAGGATTGCCATCATATATACATAATTAAAAACATATCTCTGATCAATTAATGTACCATACTTAGATGCAATGTGCATATCACATGAATATTATAACTTTGGGAACCCAGTCTTTCTGTCCATCAGAATTATTTCTTTGAAGAGCAAATATCAGCTGAGCAAGGTGGAGATGGGTGTCTGGATAAGGACCATAGATGCAAAGGGTTATATTCCTTCTCCCACCACACTGTAATCCTTTTCTTGATTTTACCCCACAAAGGAAAAAAGCATGCACACAGTTGCCGATTACATGGTTAATATAACACAGAAGTTTCTATTATTCCTAATGTTTTCCTTCCCCTGCCTTGCTGCTCCTTGCTCTGCATGTTGTATGCCAGGCCAGGTTTCAAAAATAACATGATAAACACTTTTTAAAACTTTATTTTTTAAAAAAATATACTGAAACATTTTCATCTTCCTTTCTCTTATATCCGTGCTTACCATTTGTAGGCTGATTAGCATATGTTTTCTGAGGAAGAAACTTCTGCATCAGAAAAGCCTCTGGAAGGAGTATTTCAGTGCAAATGCATAACAGTGAGGTATTGGTTCCATTGACTCTGGAGCTAATTCACAAATACAGCTTCCTGCAGGTAGCCCTGACATGCCCCTGTTTCTGCCCAAGGAGCACATTCTAAGCATTTTTCTTCCTTATTCAGGGCAGCATCTACCAACAGATGGATGGGAAACCTCCAAACTGTCCATAGTTGTGAAGCGTGCAAGGACTTGCATTTCTGCCTTGGTGTGGGGTCTGCAAGCGTTTCCAGTCCTAGCAGTCGGTGTCAGTGCTGGAAAATCGGGGAACTGATGTGGGCCTGGGGAAAGGGGACGGGGGTGTAAAGGACTTCAGAGGGTGCTGGGGGCTGTGTATGGAGGATGGAGCAGTGAGTCTCATGGGAATTCAGCATCGTGGAGAAGTGCTTCATTTCCTCTGTCAGTTGTTTGATTTCCCGGCGTAAAGCAGCGTTCTGCCTCTCCAAGTCTTCACTCTCCTTTAAAGAAAAGGGGAAAACATGAACATCTGCAGTCACTTGGAAGCTGTACTCTTACTGCTGGAAAATAGTATTTTCAAAAGATGGAAACAGGATCTGACCCTCACCTAACTCCTAGGCTTTCTCTGTTCCTTTCCCTTTACTGGCAAGACACAGGAAGTACAGATAGTATGATTTTCTGGCAAACGTATTTGTACTCAAGTGGAAGATGGAAGAGGGCAGATAGGGCATGCGAACTGGCTGGGAGGTTCAAAGAACCCCTTCCCCACATGGTGAAACAGTGCATGGTGGGAGTATGGGGCTGCATGGGACAGAAACACCCATGCCACCCATGTGTACCATGGCCATGCAGCCTTTAGCATGTGGCAGACATGCTTCCCATTTGGGTGGTATGGGAAGAGGTCTCTGCATGGTGATGTACTTGCTCTTCCATGAAAAGAGGGACCCTGGCTGGGCCAGGAGCGGTTCTTTGGGCATGCGGTATGCGCTGAAGGTCCTTGACTATGCTCTTTGAGTACAGAGATGGTGGGAAAGCCTTTCAGCTGCAGGGGACTGATGGCAAGGGCCTTGGCTGTGGTGTGCAGCACAGCAGGTTTGGGGTAGCCTGAACATCCTTTGTGTATTCTCACAATGCATGGTGAGAGGGCATGCAAATCTCCGCATAGAATAGGTTGTATATAACCTCTTGGCAGGGTCCAGTGCACTGACCAAAGTAGGGGTCCTCATCTCATGGTGGAGAAGGAGAGGAGCATCTGGGAAGTATTTCAATGTTAATTAAGGCTCTATGGGTCAGCACATGACCCTGTTTCTTCTGTTATCAATATCTGTGTGGAACCTGGGTGGAAAACCAAAATTCAGCAGACAACATACCATAAATGTGAGAGAAATCCAGGAAAGGATACATTAGCAAAAGGGAAAGCAAGATCTTACAGCAAGATGGAGAATAACAACAGTTAACAAAACTGGCTAACTTTCTAATGAAGGGTATTACAAAAGCAAAAGCAAATTGGTGCTTGCAGTTAAGGGGAGAAGTCAGGGGGCTCAGCTGGCATCCTGCTGTCTCCTGTGAGCAGGGTAAGAGCTAAGCACCAACTCTCTCTCTTCTTCCCTGAGGCACCAACGATGAAGGGGGAGGTTTCCTCTCAGTGACAAAACAAGCTTCAGAGGATGAAATACTCTCACAATTGCAACAAGGAAAGGATGATCTGTCTGTCCCGTCTGGCTAATTCTCAGCTCCAACAGCTGATGCTTTACTTATTACTACATTCATATCCTGCCTTGGCTCTTCTTGTGAGGAACCCAAGGCTGCTTACACAACTCTATTTCATCCTCACATCAACAACCCTTCAAAGTAGGGCCTTCCTAGCCATACCTCACTTTCTACAAATACATTCCCTCTGCCCCTGTCCATACATTCCTTTTTACAAATAGGGGTCTCCTTAGGGGACAGAATCCTTTAAAGAAACACTTAGATGTTAGAGTATATGGTAATTATCAAATGCAAATTTGATAATTTCTGCATTTCTGGATTTCTTTGTCCCATGGGTCTGAGCCCTGGATCTTTTCGGTACCTAGCACTGCTCCTATTTCTCAGCATGGAGATGTCTTTATTTCTATCACCCAACAGAAATCTGGTATTGAAAGAATGATAGTATTGTACTAGGCACTGAGGAGAAGATTCCTTAATGGGGGACCACCACTGGTAAGGCCTTCTATTGTTGCTGCCTCTGAAGCACCTGTTGGAGGTGGCACTCAGAAGAAGGGCTCAAATGTTGACCATCATCTCCAAGGAGAGACACCTATGCCTGCTTTCCGTCTCTGTTGCCTAAGACACTGCACCCACCACAGAGCAACAGAGCGTCTGCCTCCCCACCCCACTGCTTGTCACCTGTGCCCCCCCCGCCACATGTGTGTTTTGAGAGCACCAGCATGGGGAGTGAAGGAAAAGGGCGTTGCTGTAACACCTGCTACTGAGGAGCAGCTGCAGCTGCATGTTCACAAGTTTATTGTTCTTTCATATTGTTGCATTATTTATTTGATATTGTTGATATTTGATAGTGTTCTTTGATATTGTAGTATTTTTATTTTGATTCATTGTATTTTGTATGAATTATTTTGGAATTTAGTATACTGTTGTATTGTGTATTTAGACTTTTAATTGTATACTACCCAAAGAGCCCAAAGGGGTGTGTGTCAGGATAGAAATATAAACTGAAATGAAATGAAAGGAGATTCAGGCTGGGAGAGACACTCTGTCAGGTATTGCAGTACCAAGCTGTACGAGGCTTTATAGGTACTGGTTTAAACCTCAAATCAGGCTTGGAAACAGACTGGCAGCCAATTCAACTTTGCAAGGCTTGGTGTTATATGTTCTGACCTTCTGGTCCTGCTTGAAGAAATTTGCACATGCTGGACACATCTCTTGAACATTCCCTAAGGGCACCCCCATACTGACAGCACTGAAGTAATATAACATGGAGGTTACCATTGGGAGGATTACTGACCAAGGATTACCAAGCTGCAGATAGGCACCAGCCAAAGCTGGTAGAAGGCTTTCTGAACTTCAAGTGGCAAAGATGACTCCAGGAGAACCCACGAGCTATGAACATGGTCCTTCAAGAGGGATATAACTCCAAGCAGACCAAGATAATCATCCTCTATATGGTCAGAAGAGCCACCCACTAATAGCATCTCAGTCTTGTCTGAATCGAATTTCAGTTCATTAGTCCTCTCCACTCCATCATTTCAGCCAGACAAGGATTAAACTCAACTACAGCCTCACCTTCTGGAGATGAAAAGGAGAAACAGAGCTGCGTATCATCAACATAGTGATGGCAGTGTACTCCAGAACTCCAGGTCACACCACCCAGTGGTTTTATGTAGATGTCAAAAAACCATGAGTGACAAAATTGTCCCCTGAAGAACCCCATGCCTGAGGACCCACAGGGCCAAGCAATGCTCTCCAAACATCATCTTCTGGAATTGGCCATCAAAGCAGAAGCAGAACCACTGCAGTACAGTACCCCCAACCTAAAGCAGTCACAGAAGAGAATCAACAGGGCCACATTGCCCCGATCTCTCTCCCAACGTATGTCATCATACAGGGCAACCAGAGCTATTTTTATTTCAAGACCTGGCCCAAATCCTGACTAAACTAAATCCAGATAATTAATCATCATAATAGATGACTCAGGGAGGGCAAAATGATAATAATCTATCTCTAACTGTTCTTCCCTATGTACAAATTAGCATATTAAAATTTTATGGAAATCTACATCTTTTTTGTTCCCTTTACTGATGATTCATGGTCTCTTTTTTAACAATATGCAAATTGTCAACAGAAGTAAACCCTTCTAGCTCTGTCTGAGCAAGCAGGCCTAAAAAAAAAAAAAAAAAATCAACCTATTCCTTTTCATCCTTTCCTGCAGGGGAGAGGAGAGATTTAGCTGGAGTGAATTGATTTGATTCTGCTCCCCAGAACCAACAGTTAAGACGTGATAAGTGAGCCAACAGTTAAGAAGTTCAGGGGAATGTTGTTTTGCAAGGTGATGTTATTTTGCAGTTGCCATGCTCATTGGAATTGCTGAGGTGCATTTTATTTCTATTAAGATTATAATTATTTCTAAATCTGCACCCATACACATACATTAGCACCTATGCATTTTATAAAAAGTGGTGTCTTCTTTTCGTGTGAACCATTTCCTCTTTTGGGGTGATTCATCAGTGGCTACCTTAGACAGAAAGTGAGAACCGTTAAAATTTTCTAACCAAAAGCTATTAATTTCCAGGTAGAAACCTCTTCCCATGCTTCTTGGCCGAAAAACAGAGTGAAGAGAAGGCTTTATTATTTCTCCACCTTGTGGCCCAAGGTATAGTTTCTTCCTTTTACAGCACACCAGGCATTAGGCTTCGTTAACCTGCCGGTGTTTTTAATTTACCTCCTGACCACAGCGCTTCAGGAGAGTTATTCAAGTATGTTAAATGGGAAAGGGTATGCGGAGGTGGGCTCACATCCTTTGCTCACTGTAGAGTTTCCAAACTGACTGACGCTGTTCCTGTAAACTCACGCTCTGGGCAAACCCAAGGAGGGAAGCAGGCCCTGTGCTGATAGCAGATGACATTTTCAGCCTTCGGCCACATGCTTCCCCAGTCAGCAGCTTATGAGAAATGACAGTAGCATATCCTCAACCATCGGTTCCCACTGCCTCACACAAACCCTTGTCAGGTACACTTATTTCCTCGGCCCAGGCCACATACGTTCTGACCCGAGAGAGAGCGCGCACAAACCCAGGCCTTGGGGAGAGGAAGGGGGGGTTCAGTAACTGTCATCTACAGCTAGAAACCACCTGCCACAGGAAACTTGTTTCAGTGCTAGAAGGAAAGTCTTGCATGTTTCTTTCAGCAGCTGGGGGAAAGCAGCAACGTAATGGGGAAATTCATCAGAAGAGAAAGCTTCTGCATGGCCGTGGAGAGGAAGCCTTTCTCCTTGTAGGCTCAAACTATGGGAAACCATTTTGTGCAGCTGGACAGGGCTGCTCAGTCAGGCCCAGCCTGAAATTAGGCCTGCTGCTACACTGTGTGTAAGGGTGGCCATACAGTGTATTGATGATAGATACCTTTCCCAGAGCACCAAAACTCATCACGGAGTTCCTGTATTATCCCTCCACTGAAGGCTTGTCTCAGTTTGGGCCATTTCAGCTGATTTATGTGTGCAAGAAAAAGACACGCAGCGAGACAGGGAAAGGGAGGAAGGTCTACAGGCATTATTCATTTGTTATGGGGGTTCCTTTTGTGAAGACACTGTATTTTCCCAGCAGGTTTACAACCTTCCAGGACCTGTACCATTTGCAGCTAGGAAATCCATTTATGACTGAATCAGGAGGGGGAAAAGTCCTGTACATGTGAAACTATGCAGTTTTCAGAGAGAAAACTGGGCTAGAAATGTTCTCCATGATATCTTGGTTTCTGTGAGAGGGGAAATTTGTATGTGAAGTCCCCCCACCTACAGATTTGAAGTAGCAGAGTCCAGGAATAGAGACTGCAGCCTTCAGCAACCGCAAGGATGAGATGTCCATGCTTGTACTCTACATGAGCAATTGCTGTTTATACAAGGCTCAGGACTGACATTGGCATATACAGTTTTCTATATAAACAGGTGTAGTATTGTGCCTTGAATGAATTACAGTATACCTTAATTAGTTGGTGGTTTTATTGCTGATGCAACAGAAACTGAGGTTCTGAAATAGATATGATCTAGCGCTTTGCCTGCTGGACATTCTCTAAATAGTATGTAGAAATGAAATCCGCTAAAATAATCCGCTAAAATAAATACAAAAGAGTTTAAAATGGATAGAGGTCAATATAAAATAAGCATCTCTCTAAAAAAAAAAGATACAGTATAGACTTCTTCAGTATTGTCAGCATCATACACTCATTTTGTCCAGTATAAAAACGTTCTTTGTTCATTTCTTTATCCAAACTGCATAGCTTTAACTTTAATTTAGCCTAACCTTAGTATTATTATTTATTTTATTGTATTTATTGTATTTATATACCACCCCAATAGCCCAAAGGGCTCTCTGGGTGGTTTACAAATATTAAAACCCCAAATACAGTGCCCAATCCTAACAAATAAATAAATTTATTTATTATTTATTATTAATGTCAGAAGAGCACAGAAATTACTCATTCAAGACACACGGAAGCTAATGCAGGACAGAGCAACTCTGTGGCACTCTGTATTTCCCTGAGCAGCTTTGGAGGGTCTCCAGATGTATCCTGTCCCCCCACCTCAGAAGATAAATATGCCTTGGGATAATCTTGGAATAAACTCAGGAGCATAGCCATTTGTCTGTCAGACAGCTGCAAGCAAGCTTCTGTGAGAATCCACAGGGAGGCATCCAGTTCCGGATTCATGACTTCTGGCTTCACTGGGCCAACTGACGGCCAGCATTCAGGGCCGCATGTCTGAGAAGGGCAGAGTCTACAGAACAAATGGGGCATTCACTGGCCCTGACATATGAGCCACCCTCATTCTAGTTCATTCAGCCTGGATCAGCCGCCACGACTCCAGGGCACTGAGATTTTTGCCATTGAGCACCTTAGTTCAAGGGAAAAGGCTGAATCTAGTTTTCTTCCCTTAGCAGTGAAAGCCTTCATCTTAAAGGTTCAGCTCACTCTGGACTGATCCTATCCATTGACCAGTGGTAGAAATGAAATATTTATTAAATGACTCTAGACTGATTCTCACAAACAGCAGTACAGAAGTAAAACCTGCCCTTGAGCTTTACTACTTGCAGTTGAGGTGTGTGTGGGAGCCTATGGCTTAATACTTTTCTGTGGTCAAAAGAACGTTTCCTTGCATCTATGAAAGTATCTAGACTCCCTCCCTAGCTTTATATCTGCAGGGATGCTAACTCATCAGCCTGTTAAAGCAATGAAAAATGGAATTTTGGATTATATGGAGGGGGCATTCATACTGAGCTGTACTCAGTCATGTGATCCTCCACTTGCAGCCTAAGATGGTTGAGTCCCAGAACAGTTTGGCCACCACATCTGCTGCTAGCACAACCTGCTAGGCCCATCCCACAGAAATCCAACTGAATGGACGATAGCAGTTCTTACCAAGTGCAGGGTGTCTGCTTTCTGTGTCTGTCTCTGCCGGCTCTTCTGGGCTGCAATGCGGTTTTTTTCCCTTCTTTGTACTTTCCTCATGTCATCAGAAGACTCCTATAAAAACCCCACATGGTAAAGACTTAACCCCTTCCTGGTGACTCTTACAGAAGATGGGAAAGTGGAGGGAAGAGGAGTACAAAGTGGAGGAAAGCAAATTTTATTCTCATGATCTCTATCAGCCATGGTCTCCTCCCACACCCCACCTTACCCTCTGTTGCTTTCATGGCATCACCTATATTAGATTAATATAGAAACACTCTCTCTTTAAGCATACACAAATGCCTGATAGCATACCAAATAGGAAAGTGCTGAAGTACAAAGAGGAGGAGAACAAAAATGCATCTCAGCAATGGTATCCTTTTCCTCTCACACCGTCCTCTGCTGAGTTCATGGCAGATTCCATATCAAACTGATACGGCTCTTCACGCTTTCCTCTTTAAGTATGCACAAATCCCTGATGAAGAAGAAGTAAATCCAGCAAGGGTGTAGGGCAAATGCTTATCCTCAGATCCTGGATCCTGGTTATGAACTCTTCTGCATACAGACAAGTACATTTCGTAAGGCCCTATTTTATCAAGGTACATAGCTGCTTTCCAAAGATATGTATCATATCTTTCAGGAAAAAGCAATGCATATTTTTAAGTTTCCTAAAGGACATACAGGTTTTAAAATGTTTAATACTGTGTTTTATTCACTTTACTGTTTATGGTTTACCAGAATTGGTCTAGATGTCAAGCAGTAAATAAATGTGGTAAAATAATTATATATATAAAGTTTGTCTTTCTCAAAAGCATTTTCTCTCCATGGGGTGTTCATGCACCCCAGGGAGAATGATGTCCTGTTTGTGGGGTACTAGTGCCAAGCAAATGGGAGATTTTATATGGATAGCTATATCAACAATCTTTCCATCATATCCATGAATAATGTTTGCTATTCTTTTGTTTAATATTCAACATGGTTCCATTCCTGTCCATGTTTTCTTTGCCTTGCCTCTTATCTTAGGTTTTATATATCATGATTGGATTTTGCTTGATTATTCCAGAAACTTAATCTATTCTCTCCTTTCCTTTTCTAGAAAGCCCCATGAAAGTACCACTGGGAAAGTTTCCATCTCTTTCTAGCTCCCCAAGCTGTTTCTCTTTCTAGAGAAACCTTTAGTTGCATGGTTGGGCAATTCTTCTAGCTTGCAAGATTTACTTTGCCTTTTACTCAAAACCCAAGATCTACCACCCAAAGGTTGGTGCAGAAGACTCTGAATTTGGGGTCCAGTCCTTGCACACAAAACCCCCCTCTTAGTTACCTCCGAGCTTTCACTGCAGCAGCACAGTTGATGGCAAGTAGTGGAAGTCATCTTGTTGCTACTGAGAATTCAGAAATCCTTGTTGACCTATGCAAATCACCCAGAGATCTTCCATAGATCCCACTTTACTTTCTGCCCACCCCTGAACTACAGTTATCATCTTCGGTTTCTCCCATGCCTTTTCTACAAACTGAGAGAAATGCAGCAAGACAAGTTTTCCCCATTACTTTGTCTTCAAGCAATGACAAACTTCTGCTGTTGAATGTCTGTATATCAACTCTGCTGCTCAAGGGAAATGGAGCTGAAAAAGTGATGCCCATAAAGTTAAAGCAACTGCCCAAACTGTACCTGTTTGCTGGATGAAGATGACTGGCTGAAACTACTGGAGTCACTGCTGTCAGAGCTGTGGGGCATGGCTCACAGCTCCCCCTGTCTGTGGACTCTCCTCTTTGCCTGTGGACGCGCTTCCCTTCAGTTCTTGGTGATGTTCTCTCCCTCTGCTCCTTTTCCTTGGGCTTTCTCTCTCCTGCTCTGCCCTTCCTCTTCTGCCTTGTGGCGCACTCTGTGGCTCCTTGCTGGTGTCTACATTGCCCTCCTTTTAGAGTCTGCACCACACTTCAGTAGTTGCTTCTTTTTAGATCTTCACTGCTGTGGTTTCTCGGAAGCTGAGAGGCTCAACTGAAAGTCACATGGGCGGAAACTGAAGTTAGAATAAGAAAAAAAAATAGCTCAGGGAAAATTGAAATAAAAAAACCCCAAGTAGCTTCAAGCAGTTAGTGAGATCCAGCACAAGAGAGTATTGGTTTCAGCTGCGTGACAAACACGAGAAGGGAATTAAAAACACAATAAACTTACTATAAAGAAGTGTAGAGGTTTACCTGCTCAGAAGTTCTTTCAAAAAGACCTGCTTGGCCAAGCTTTATTTTGCACAGACCATTGCAATAACATTTATAATGCAAACTCTGGGACAGGTAACATCCATTAATGATGGAAACATTGACCAGAGGTAAAACAATAATTTAAACAAATCTGTATTTTTTCAGCTTCACAGGCAAAAAGAACTATCTTTGCCATTATAGTTTTTATATTTTGGGAACATGAAAATGCATATTTGTGGAGGTTTGACCAATGGGCATTTCCAGCAAGCAAGTATTTAAGGTCCTTTAGCTATCCCTCTATTTAGAATACCAAGTCCCATGGAGACCATCTGGCTAAAAATAATTAAAGGCAAGTGTCAAATTTATTGAATAGCATTGTAGTTGGAATTTACTACATACTGTCATCCCAAGGAAAGGATGGAGAAGATGCTTTCCTGAAAATATGAAATGCAGGCATAACCACACAGTCCATAAGCATAAAAATAAAAATCCACAGCTGGCCAATATGTTTACTAGTACCAACCCAAGTGCCAAAATCATCTCTGGAATTTTATGTGATTCCAAAACAGGTGTTGCCCAACTGTGGATTTTGGATTCCCCCTGCCCCTAGCCAAAACAAAGAACCAGTGCTTCAGAGAAGGGAGAGAACTCCTAGCACTTAGAAGGCATTCTACAGTTCTGGTACCTCTTTTTTCTTGAGAAACATAGATGAGTTGAAGACAATGTAATTTGGACCCTCTGAAAAATTCCCTGAATAAGAACATAAGAACTACCATGCTGGATTTGACTAAAGTCCCTATAGCCTGGCTCCCTGCTCACAGGTACCCCACAAACAGGATGCCAGTGCCACAGCGCCCTCCTACCTGTGCTCCCTACCAGCTGGTATACCTAGGTAAACTTCCCCTGATAATGGAGGCAGCACATAGCTGCATAACCTTAGCCTCCAGGAATTTGTCCAGTCCTCTTGTTAAGCTGTCCAAACTTGATCATCACTACATCTTGTGGAAGTGAATTCCACAGTGCCATATGAAGAAGTGCTTCCTTTTATCTATCCTGAACTTCCCACCAGTCAGCTTCATGGGATGACCATGGGTCCTAATATTATAAGAAAGGGGAGGGGAGGGGAAATCCCCCTAGCCACTTTTTCCACACTATGCATAATTTTGTACACTTCTGTCATGTCTTGCATCACTTGCCTCTTTTCTAATCTGGATAGTCCTAGATGCTTTCCTCTCAAAAAGTTGCTTCAGCCTCCTGATCCTTACAGTTGCTCTTTTTTTAACCTTCCCTATTCTTTTCTAGGTGTGGTGATCCAAGCAGTACAGAGTATTGCAAATGAGGTTGCACCATATACATCCAGTAATATATTAGCAGTTTTATTTTCATTCCTTTCCTAAATTATGCCTAACAAGGGATTTGCCTTTCTCACAGCAGCCACACACTGGGTTGACCTGTTGCTCAAGTTATCCAGCACAACCCCAAGACTTCTTTCTTGGTCACTTGCTGATAGCTCAGATCTCATCAACGTATATTTACAAAGTTGGGATTTTTTTGGTCGTGTGTGAATCATCTTACTCTTTTTTACAGTAAACTACATTTGTCATTTTGATGGTATTCTCCCAGAGATCTTTCTTGAGTTCTTTCAGTCCATTCTTCTTTTAACTACCCTAGATAATTTGGTGTCATCAGCAGACTTGGTAACTTCACTTCTAATTCTACATAATTTATGAAAAATTTGAAAAGCATTGGCCCCAATCCCTGTGGGACCTGTTATGCCAAGTAATTTTGGGGAGTAATACACCTCAAAAGGAGATGCTTGTCTGCCAGATTGCCTCAAAAGGTTTGGGATCTTTTGTTGGAGTTTAATGCACAATGCCAGAGAGAACAAGTCCTGGTTTTGCATTCACACAAACACAAGACTTAGGAAGGAAAGGAAAGTTTATTCAAAGAAAATTTAGAGCACGCTGAAGTTTTTAACCCAATGTTGTCGAGGCAGCAGGTATTCATATTGAATCCCAATCTTGGTCTATATTTCTAAAGAGATAAAAAGCTACCTGCCTAACCGAAAGTGAAGCTAACAGACAAAGGGAAGAAGGGAGAAGGAGTCCATTACCTGTACTGAATCCATGTGGCTCCACAAAAAGTTAAGTGACAGCCTGAAAGAAAAAAAGAACTTGTTCAGGTAGTGGAAGGTAGAATATAAACAAATTGCAAAGAATTGCAGGAATGGCATGAGAAAGGCTAAAGCAGGAAATGAACTGAGAATAACAAGAAAGCACAACAAGAAAGCCTTCTTCAGATACATCCAGAACAAAAGACATGAGAAAGAGAAGGATGTCCAGCTACTTAAAGTGGATGGCAGAGTGATAACAGACAACAAAGAAAGGGCAGAGGCACTCAATTCCTACTTCTCCTCAATCTTCTCCCACAAAGAAAACTGCATCAAGAGGAAGTACAAGCTAGAAGTGAGAGATGGCAGCCCAAGATTGACAGACAAATGGTCAAGGAATACCTAGATGGAATAAACACTTTCAAATCTCTGGGCCCAATGAACTCCATCCCAAAGTCATAAAAGAGCTAGCAAAGGAACTCTCAGACCCACTGGCTATACTGTGTCCAGTTCTGGGCACCAAGATTTAAGAAAGATGCAGGTAAATTAGAAAGGGTCCAGTGGAGGGCAACAAAAATGATCCAGGGTTTGGAAACACTGCCCTAGGAGGAGAGACTGAGAGAACTGGGCATGTTCAGCCTTGAGAAGAGAAGACTGAGGGGCAATGAAATTTCACTCTATAAGGACCTCAAAGGCTGCCACAAAGAGGAAGGTCAAGATCTCTTCTTGCTGATGCCAGAGTGTAGGACATGGAATAATCAATTCAAGCTGCTACAACCCAGATTCAGGGTGGACATCAGGAAAAGTTTCCTCACTGTCAGAGCAATTTGACAGTGGAACCAGCTGGTGGTGGGCTCTCCCACACTAGAGACGTTCAAGGTGAAACTGGACAGCTGTCTGAGTGGTACGGTGGAACTTGGTGTCCTGAAACAGCAGGGGGTTGGACTCGATGGCCTTCATGGCCCCTTTCTACTCTACTATTCTATGATTCTAAGCAAAACTCCTTGTGTGGGCAGGGACAGTACAAGGCCTATATTCAGAGCTTGCCCCCCTTTCCTAAGTCCCTGATCTTCTTTGTACTTGCTACTATGGGAGCAATGAGTTTCCCAGACTTATACTAATTGTTGGATGGTTGCTCCATTGTTCCTGATCACCTTGTGACTATGATTGTCTTCCATGGGTCTTAGGCTGTGTTTGCCAGCTGCTTTGATGTGGGGTATTCAGGGTGCCTCAAGAAAATGGGCCGTCCTCTTTGCAGAATTGTCTTCTCTAATATCTTTAAGAGAAAAGCCTGACCTTTTATCCCCAAGAATTCCAGTATTCATTCTTATCTCACACTGACTAGCCCAGGATACTAGGTCCTCCTTCCTGAATTCAAGCCTATCCAACATGGGCCATATAGTGAAAGCCTGTCCCATCCTTGGAGCTTATGGCTATGGTGCTAATATTGATACATACATGCACTACAGGCCACACTGCTTATATCCATCCCTTGGAAGAATTTGCCATTTATTCCTACTATTTGTGGTAGGATAGGATGAAGTGAGGTAAAGACACCACAAAAGCCTTGAAAGCATCCAGTAATTAGTAGGAATGGGTAATTTCCACTACCCTGAAATCTTCTGGGACACAAATGGAATGACCAGTGAATTCAGGACATGCCTTGCTGACCACTTCACCCTGTTTCTTCATTTTCCTGTCCAGAGTGTCATAGGCAGATAAAATATATTCATAGTTGTGACTGGAGGTATAATTTATTCTCATGTGGATGAACAAGGAGGAATAATGCCCAGTAATCTTGATAAGTCTTGGCCACCTCCCCATCTCATCCTGGATCCAAGCCCTAGAGAGACAAAATAGTTCTCAAGTTAACAGGTCTGGCCAGCACCCAGCTGTACCACCTGGGAGAGATACCTGAGTTGCCACATTCGCCTTTTCTTGCACTTGGAGAGTGGGTCTTCTGATCGGGCATGGATGCCATTCCTAGGATCCTTGGAACCACTGAACATTTGCTTCTTTCTTTCTTGGTTCTGGTGATTCTCCTGCTTCTAAGAGTCACTCTTGTTGCTTGGTTATGCACTGTGGGTTCACATAGATTGCTAAGCCTGTGGTTCAATAGCAACCCACAGAATAAATCATCATGCTGTCAGGACCCACTGCCTTCCTGGTAGCGTCCTCCCTGTTAAAATTTTCATCCTTTCTCCTAACAAACACATCCTGCTTTTGTCCTTGTTGTAATGCAACTTTAACCCAGCAGTTCCCTATCTTGGACATGGAATTTTACAGTTACTGGGTCATCCAGAGATTGTTGTCTTCCATTTGTATCCTTTTGTGTTAAGAAGGAAAAGATCATGCAGCACAATTGTTTTTGACTGGTAGTGCTGGGAGCGCTTTGCCTGGAAACAGCCTTCATCTCTTCAAATGAGGTGAAGTGTGAAAACTTCACTCCTTTACTCCTCTTACTTTCTCTGCTAAGAGAGCAGTCAGTTTACACTTACTGCAAATGTAGTTTTGTAATATTTTCAGATAAATAAATAAATCAAGCAGACATAGTAAAAGTCACCTATGCAGAACCCTCCAACCTTTTCACTCTTGTTTATATTCTGACTAACCATTGTCTTTCCTGATGGTAGTGGACTCCTTCCTTCCTTCCTTCC